TGCGCTGCTTCTTGTCTTTACTCATGTGAGCCAAAAACATCGGCCAGCAGGGTTGCCATACAGCACTTGCACAAGCAGCGATAGTCGAGACCTAAGCAAAATGTCTCCTGTATTATTTTCTCTTTGTTTCTATTTATATCGGCCAAAACAGTGTTTTTAATCCTTTTTCAACATGAGGGGCAAAACTGTATTTTCATGTCTCAAGTAACACCGTTGGTGAGTAAAATGGACGAAAATGTCATATAAGGAACAAAATTTACTTTTAGTGTCAAATAGGGAAGAAGATATTTCTTGAGGCCAAATAGAGAAGCAAAGTTTAACAAAGGGCTAAATAAAGAATTCTCTCAAATATTTCTCCATAAAGAAGACGAGGCTGGTAGCCTGCCATCTTTTTCATCCAACCATGGAACACAAGTGGAGCTATGTCATATGTCCTGGATATCTACCGGCTAGAGGATTAGATTATTTGCCGGAAGCCCCGGAGCGCCTATACATCAGCCACATGAAAAATTTGTTTGCATCAGTCACTTTTGTTAATCGTTAGATCTTTATTGTACGACCGAAAACAAATCATACCCTCTTTATCTTCAACCTTCATTTTCTTCTTCCCCACGCAGCCGCCAATCAACCCATTCCTAATCACCCGCCTCCACCCCCACGGCCGGTGGCTACTGCCGCCTTCCCGCCCTGGCCTCCCTTCGACCTCCCCCCTTTACTATGCTGGCCGCCGCCCTGGCCATTCCACTAAGCTCTGGTTTGATGAACAGCTAAGGCGACCCCTCGCGCTAACCCCCATTATTTTTTACTCACTCTTGCCGGCTCCTGCTCGTACACGGCTGGGACTCCCTGTGGTCAGCGCTCGTCGCTACCGCTCCTCACGTCACCGCTGCCTTCAGCCTCGTGTGAAGTGGATGTGGCTGACACTTTTTTCAGGTACCTGTTAATTAGAAGAATCGTTATTTGTCACACTTTTCGAAGTGTTCTATGGTTTTTCTTAGGATTGTCTCACTGGCGGATGGACCCAAGACCCCAAGTCATTGTTCACGAGGTAAATAATCAACCTGGGAAGTAATGTGTGAGTTAAGATTTTCCACGGGTAAAAAATAGGTGAACAAAGCCTTGGTTGCCATATCTAGCGAACGTTCGGCATAAGAGATGACATTTGTGAACGTCTGTCTCGCAGTTTTAGTGTATCTGGAGGACCTGAGTGGTCTTTTTGTAAAAGTATCATGATATTCCTTTAGTTTCGAGTGTGAAAGAGCCATCCAAACTAGTACATGGTAGGATCAAAATCGTGTGGCAGCTAGGGCGTTCGTTGGCAGTTTATTCTGAACGAACGTTAGCCAGTTACTAATTCCGAAAAAAAATAGGTGAGCCCATCTTCCTCCCCAAATCTATCGCGACCATGTATGCGGGGATGAACGACGCCGCCCGTGGGAGTGGGACTCTGGGAGGATTGCGGTGGACGGTGTGGGGGACATGGGGGGATGGTTGGGCACGCCGCTGCGGCAGCGCGGCGTGGGGCTTGCGGTGCCGGAGCAGGCGGCGCAGAGGCCGAGAATCGCCGCACATACGCCGCCTGAGGTACTCTCCTGAACCTACCTCGCGGTCTTCTTCCAGTTGTGATTGGCTGCTCCTAGTTGATACTACTAGATCTAATAACCAAATTCACGCCCGCATTTCTCGAAGCAATTCGAGCTGACACATTGGCTACGAGTTTAGTCCTTCTGCCATGTGGATTATCCTGTGAAGTATATTCAGTTTCCCGTTTGAGTTTGTGGAATGTATCTGCAACTCTTCAAATCGAATGATCTCTAATTTACACGGGCTAATTCTACTTTGAAATTGCCATTTTAACCCTTGTACGCGCTCTCGTGTCCAGGCTAAACAAAACGCAGCAGAATTTCCCTTTACAAGACCATGTTACAAGCTATCGGGTGCTCAACTTTGATCCTTTCCTCAAAGGCTGAAATAGAGTGGTATAAATATTTGCAAACTCAGATAGCCCCTAGCTAGTCCACCCACAGGCATTCTGCACACAAACACAATAGCATCATTACATCGGAGGGAGCAACAAAAGCTTTCTGCCAGCAATGGCGGAGCTTTTGGGCATGATTGCGAGTGCCGCGGGTGAAACAACTGGCTAGCAAGCTTGGCGAGGTTGTGAATGAGGAGATCGCTCTGCTGTGGGGGTTCCAGGACGAAGTGGAAGGCTTGGAGGAGAAAATGAAAGATTTAGAGGCCGTGATGCATGATGCTGACGATAGGCTGCGCCGAGGAGAAAGAGATGGGGAGGCAGTTGGGCGGAAGTGATGCATGATCCACCACCACGAGCTCTAGTTCATCTGTAAGTAATTTACTCCTCTACTGCCCCCTTGCCGATTTAGTAATTTGCTCAAGTACGTTTTCCGCCGTGGATTCTGAGTATATTGCACGGGTTTGGAATCCACTCTGTTCATCGGTGGCTTATTCTGTTGTTTTTCTTCTATTGTTTTTATGTAGGTTGATGATCGAAATGTAGGTCTGATCTAGTGGCAACAACCAGTGGAGGAGCCCTGAACAAGCCCACATATTTCTGAAAATCTAGTCATATTTGCTAACTTCCACATGTAAGCCTGCAGAAATGTACTACTCCCTCTGTAACTTTTTATAGGACGTTTTTAAGTCCATGGCAGTGTCAAAAAATATCTTATATTAAGTTAGAGGGAGTACTATTTAGGATTGAAGGTTTAATAGGAAATAATTACTTGAACTGCAGCTTCAATTGCAGCTGCATTGCGAGGAAGTTTTACTCATTGTTGGAGAGGGTAGGATGCGGTTGAAGAGTGAAACCGGTAATAGCAGAGCATGGAGAGGCAAGTTAAATTTCTGCAGGCATTAGCACCTGCAAAGTTGTGATGAGGAAGGAAGGAACCTTGCGGGAGAAAGTTCCAGAACATCCACGCTTTTCTCTGCAAATTGTTAGTATCAATTGAACTTGACTGACTTTGTTCTGAAAAGATGCAACATAGTGAACTGTTGACCGCCACATTCCGTAGGTTCATAGTGAACTGTTGAACTGCTGAACCTTCCTATATACTGAGCTTTGTTAACCAATAAATAGTTTGCATTGTTCTGGCTAATTTCAATCTGTATGCTGAACTTTAAGTATCTACTCGGCTTTGAAAGCAAAGATGGATAATTCTTCTCACAGTATGAGCTCTCTTTGGCAGCACAGCTGAGGGTGAGCAACAGGCGGAGCTGGACGCGCCATGGAGTTTCAACATGGGAAGATGGAATGGAACACTGCTTCTGAAAAGCAGGTTGGTTGCAGGACTGAACTGCTAAGTGCTAACTGTTATAAGTATACGAACTTCCTTAGCACCCATCGATATTACAACAACTATGTGCATTTGGCAAGATTGAAACAACCCGCTTCGCTGTATGTTGGTTTCTATGGAGAGAGCAAGTGAAATCGTTGAAATAGAGACAGAGACTGCATAACTCATCGACGTTGCGACAACATTCTCTGCGCTTGTACAGGCGGGTAACCCCTTTCTCTCTTTTGCTCACGTATTGGTGCAACTCCAGTTTAGATTTCTGACCTTTCTTCTTATCCCAGGTGGGATGGCACAACTGTTGGTCTGGTCAGCTAAGACAGCAGTCAGACTGAGTCGTGATGGGAGTAGAAGGCGAAGGTCAGAGTTCTCTGTCAGATGGAACAATGAATGACAGAATGAATAATCGTGATGGGAGTATGATACACATTGTTTTCGCTATTGTATTTCTGAGTGCCAGCTAGAGATGGCATCGGACCAATGAACAGTATTTGTGATGTACATGCTTGTTTTCATGGTGCACTCAGAGTCGCTGTGTGTGTGCTCATAAGATAGCTAATAATTACTTGGCTTGTTTGCATATCTAATAAATGCTACATGTTCTTCACTTGATATTACCTTACTTTGCATTTGTCAGATTTTGCAACTAGGGTGCAGTTTGATTGCCATTTACCATATTCCGCTATTCTCAACTTTATCGCTTAAATTCATTAGGTCGCAACATGGGTCGCCTGCATGATGATGTAATACAACTGGTCGCATCTCCCACCCTAAAAAAATGAAGCATCTCTCACATACTGAAGAAGGGAAACTCCATGAGCCTGAAAGATTGACACCTAAGGTTTTGCACATGATATGCCCAATATGGCCTCGGTAAACCAACATTATTTCTCTAAGATGGAATGATATGAAATACTGGTACTACAAATCATCTGGGAAACAGTATTATGCTTGTCGAAAAGATTCGCAAAGCTGCGTACATTACATACCCATGTTCAGAGGCCACGGTACTCTGCTCATGCTGAAATAGCTGCGGATAAAATGCTTTGTATATGTATAGTAGAATATATATGTCTTTTATTGGAGAGTAGGTTTCAGCGTGAACGATTACCCTGATAACCACTCATCCGAGTTGGAGATGCTCCCCTCCTGGTGGTACGTACCATCGTCTTGTGCTTCTGGGTCACTGGCATCATAGACAAACGACTTTCTATAAGATGCCATATTAATTGAGGATGAAACATTCAATTCTCATACCATAATTGAAAAGAGAACGGCAACAAAACTGAGGATGCCAGTGATTGCACACTGAATTACAAGTTGATTCAGTAATTTGAATACACTGACTTGCGAGCTGGTGCGGGCATACATGTACACTTACTTACAAGTTGCTGAGCAACTCTGCAGAGAAAGAAGCAAAAGATGATCTAGCTAGTACTGATTCCCGAGACATGCAAATTATTAGTGTCAACATTTCCAGGGATCAGCTTAGCAGCATGTCCATTTATATGCAACTTCAAACGATATGCCCAATATGTAACACATGCTGCTAAAGAGATAGACACATAAACTTCTTTATACACAAGAATAACATATCAAAACCAAATAAGAAATACAAGTCACTAGAGAGCAATTGTACCTTTGTACTAACTTTCACATAGCTCTGTGATCAATAGGAGAGCATCAACACATGCTCGGAAAGACCCAAACAGGTGCCCTAAAATCGGAATCAGGCCTTGCAGCTCCCTCTAAGTTCTCAGCAACAAATGCATCACAAGATCCATCGGCCAAGGAATACTCGATCCACTTTCTTTTGGCATCTGTGAAGTATAAGCAGTCCCTTCGAACTCCTGGATGATCTGGACCAAGGGAACTTGCAAAGTAATAACCTGAAAAGCATGTCATTCCTTTCGTCGGAACAACACAACCTACAAAGTAAAAATATGTCAAGAACAATGTGCAGTCACCAAGGCTAGTAGTCCTTGTCCACTTCCCCTCCATTGACTGCCATCGGAAAACATGAAACTCTTCTGGGCAGTCCCCAACAGCGCTAATAAGCAACAACTCATCGAGACACTCTGCGAGACAGAAATACGAACTCCCATGTGCGGCCTGTGTATCCAAATTATCTCCAAGAAACATTAATTCCACTGTATTCTTGTCTGACAGATTGGCCACGGCGAGACGGTAACATAGGCCGCCAGCATCTTCAGATCTGACCAGCGCGTGTAGGTTGCCCTTGAGAAAGATCAAATCCTCCAGCACATAGGGCTCAGTGCATGACGCCACACGCCACTCAACATCCCCAAGGCGACAGTACTGGACGGCACGGCCGACCGTCGGAACGAAGGCAAGGACGAGATCGCCAGATAGGAGGAGGCGACAGAAGGGTGCCGGTGGATAGGGAAGGCGAAATCGCTCGCCTGTGAGAAGGTGGACGAAGCTGAGCTCATGGTGGATGGGGCTGGCCATGGCGATGCGACAGCCAAAAGAGTAGAAGGCGGCAGGGTTAGGATCAAAATCATGGAGGGGGAGGCGGAAGCGCAGGCGACGACGGAGGGGGAGGTGGAACATGGCTCGAGATCCGGGGACAAGGAGGAGGTGGGGGGCTTGGGAGGCGAGGTGGGACGACGACGGAGGGAGGAGATCCCGGTAGGTTGCGCGGACGGCGAAGAAATCCTGGAGTGTGGTCAGGCAACTCGCGATCTGGGGGATGAGCTCGGGTAGGAAGTAGGGTGATGAGGTTGTTGCTACGGGATTTGGGGGCGAGGTGGGGGAGGAGGAGGAGGCCATCATGGTGGCCGACAGCGATAGTTTTCTCCGGTGTGTCGCCGACTTCGTCATTTAACTCATTGGATCTGTTGTTGGGTGATGTGTTGGATTTGCGCTTGTTCTTCTAAGACAGAATTCCTTATCTGACCCTTTCTTAAAATCTAATTGCCTTTTTGGCCCTAAAATTATCATTTTCCTTCTTTAATACCATAACTTCATTTTCTTCCTTCCTTGACACTTATATCATTTTTTTGCTATCAATACCGTCAAGTGCGACTTGGAAAATCCTACTTACCTCTGCTTTAGCACGTAGTACAGAAACATAGAAAACTCTTGTTTAGCCGAACAGTCCCACATTCTCTCCCAATTCCACTTCTTTCCCGATTCCTCTCCCACATTCACCGCAAGCCCTAACCCTACCTTGCGCGGCGTGAGGTACACAACAACGGCCGTGCGAGGCTAGGAGAGCGGCATGGAGGAGGGTGTGGGTGACACTGCTACAGATGGCGGGGTGGAAGGCACGGTAGAGGAGGGCCACGGAGCTGCACCAGTCTTGGCCTCGGGCACGCATGGTGGGGAGGCGGATGGCGGCCAAGGACCAGTGGACAACGGGTGAGGCGGCGTTCTGCTAGGCTCTATGGAAGAGGGCAAAGGATTTATGCCGAAGGGCCACGGCCTTGCGCCGGTCTTAGCCTTGCACGGTCAGGGCGAATCAATGGACGGTGGCCAAGGATCACCGAAGTACAACGACCGTGCGACACCCTCGGATGCGACTATATCGTTGTGGTTTGAAGGGTGAGTTCCTCTCTTCTCTAGATTTCTCAAAATGCAACAAATTACTTATAGATGGATATTTCCTGGCAAATCTGCAATGGAAAAAACACAAAGATTAGGTTCATATAAAACAAGTATGTTCAAAGATCTTGGATAATATGTTTACACATGACACTTTTGTTATTTAAAATATCACGCAAGTACATACGCAGTTGATATTTTGTACATGGGTTATGTATGCACAAACTAATGTGTAAGGAAGACATGGGAGTAGAAAGTACTAATGATTAGGTTTATTTGGCTTTTACAGGATGGATCTGAATTCAACTTAACTGCTGAAAATTAAATGCTTGGCAACCTAAAAAAAGCTATAAAGAATATCCATTGCTTTTGCTTTGAGAAGGTTATCGACTCTAATGTAACAAATTATAAGGACCCAGTTGAATCAATCGTAGAGCAGTACGCGACATGTTATTTGGAAGTTGCACATGTTCAGTACTATGATGCATTTTTTAAAATATGCCCTGAAAGAACATATGACCAAGAATTGGTGTATTTATTTAGGACCGTAATATCGAGCTAAAGCGAGCCCTCTCACGCCCTCAGCTATTTGAGCCGTCAGATCTCGTGCTAGGATCAATGTTGGCCGTTAGATCTACTGTCTCCACCACCTATTTTTTTCCTGGCCGGGCTGTCCTAAAGGGCTGCTACTCCAGGAGAAAAATCTGAGGCATGTGGTTGCGCGGGCCTTCCACTCGGCTCATTTAGCTGACTCTGCGCCAGACGCCACCCGATCGGTAATTCTCCGGTCACTAACCCTCATTCATGCCTACCTGAAAAAAGTGAAGGCGAGACGGAGAGACGGGGGCGACGCGGGGATCAGATCCAGGCGATGCAGGTGATACGGGCGATGCGGGCAATCGGACCGATCGGTTGCAAGGCGCGGAGGGACCGAAGTTCTATCACCAAAGATTGATTGATAAATTAACTGGCCATTGAGACCAGTTAATGGAGTTGAATTGTCAGTTTCTATGTTGTGCGTGATTGAAATTCACCCGCCGTTGTTTAACTCAAGGAGTAGACCAGCCGTTCCTAATCCTACAGGCCATTAATGGAGTGGAGGTCAGTTACAACTTGGCTGCTCCGCCTACATATGCTCTGTCCAGTCCCCCAGGTTATTTCCCCATTCTTCCCCCGGCAATAAACATCCCTAGAGTCACGCGTCTCCATTAGGTTGCCCCTTCATCTTGAAAATTTGCTGTAAATTTTCCTTCTCACTGCAATCCCTTCATGACTGAGTGTTTGCACTCAGTATGGGCTCCTGCTGAAGCTGCTTTCCACTCCTAATTTGTAACTGAGTGTTTGCACTCAGTATGGGCTCCTGCTGAAGCTGCTTTCCACTCTTGATCCTGAAAATGAAAATAAAAGAGGCATTATATTATGATTAAAAAAAGAGTTTCTTCATCTTTCTAGCCTCTAGTTGTGACTGTTTTGCCCCATTTTATCTTGCTATACATTTTACTTTTTTTGCGAATAAAGCACTTCCATTACTTAAGCAGGAACGTAACAATCCTGCTCACACAGCAGGTTAAGCTCATCAGGTACGCATCTTAACCAAACAGCAGTTCTAGAAAGAGAAGAACCCATACGTGCGAGTGCATGACTCGCTTTATTCTGCTCAACGGCTAGTATTTCATGTGGTCGCTGAGCTAGTAGCTGCTTTGTCGCCTCCACCATCGCTGCTACAGGTGATCTATTCGCCCCCTGGTCGCTGATCATACGTGCCGCCGTCCCGCCGTCTCGCTATCCGTCTCAGACGATGAGTTGGTCCTTACTCCATTCAAGGGCAAGGGTCACACCTTCCAAACAAGCTGCTACTTCAGCATCTAGAGCACTTGCGCACCTCAGAATAAAACTGCGTCAATATCGAAAACGTTTACATACTCGTTTGGACATGATCATAGGTACTTTATTGGAATGAACATATGACTGAGTGATTGTTGCATACAGATTAATCACTTGGTAGCTATAGTTACTTCTGCGGGATATTCTAATGAACATATGACTGCTATATATACGTAATCTATCCAATGAGTTTTGCCTTTATTGTACGACACGTTTGATATTAGTTACTTCTGCGGGGTATTCTAAGTCAAGTGCATGCCAAGGCTTTTCAGAAGCGTATCATGCATGATTTGGTACATGATCTTGCTTCATTAATTGCTGCTGATGAATTTCTTGTTCTTTGATGCTCATGTTACTGGGCCAAGGAGTTGGAAAAACGCAATTCATTGCCGACATGCAGAGTTGATACAGTACCAGAATCAGTCCAATGTTTTCGATTGTCTGCCAAAAACTCTCCTTCCTCAACTTGTCGGTGTTGGAAGTAAACCCAATGTCCAGTCTGATTACAAGGATATAGGATTAGTACTAGCCTGGCGTAGGTGCTATATATATATATAACGAGAAATGTAGCGAGCGAACGCTCGGTTTTTGTTAACAGATCCGAACGAGTGTGGATGTCGTTCGATCCTGATTTCGTGGCCATGATTATCGCTGGTTCGTTGTGCATGCGATTTCCTTTTTTTCGAGGGGCTTGTGCGTGCGATTCGGAGCGGCGTGCGATTATAGAGGTAAATAGCAAAGCGAAAAAATGTGCAAGAATTGGGATTCGATCCCAGGTCCCTAGGCCATTAATGGAGATGAATACCGGTTCATTAGCCAATCCACTAGCATGCTTTAGTTGTCAATAACTTAGGATAAAATGCTATTTGACCGCAAGACTAAATTCTATATTTTAAGAGCAGCTAACCGTTTGGCTGGGCTCTCTTTGTCATTGTTTTGTACCTATCTATCTACCATGCCTAAAGTTCAATGATTTTTTAGAAAAACAAATGATATCATGCCTAACTTCCAAATTGTACGATGCCTAACTTGAAGACCACAAAAAATTCCAGTAAGAAATTGTACTCACAAGTTAGTGTCTCAATTTTTGTCCGCATGCCATTCCAATTGGTGTATACTGGCTTCAATCTTGCGTTTCATAAAGAGAGATCAGTTTTTTTGATGACATGCCGTTGCGTTTCATAAAGAGAGATCAGTTTTTTTGATGACATGCCGGTGCTTGTGACAACGGAAGTGATGGCTAGTCGTTAAGTTTTTGTGTAAATAGCATGACACACATCATGGACGTGATAATTTACTCGCAAACATCACGATAACTTTGACATGGGAATTCTTTTTATTTAAAACACTCTCGGTAACTTATATATAAACAAGATGGTAATATATGTACCACAGACCTGATAACTTAGATACAAACATCACGATAACTTTGATGAGGGAGACTTGTTGGAAAACATACCGCATATATCTTGTGTGTAAAATAGCATGGTAATATACGTACTGCATATATCATAACTTAGGTACAAACACCGCGTAACTATTTATCTGGGAAAAAGTTGTTGAAGACGCACCCGTGATAATTTCTGTATAAATATCATGGTAATATACACACAACATACCTGATAACTTAGGTACAGACATCATGATAACTTTGACCCGGGGAAACAAGGTTGTTGAAACCCTGGTAATTTTTGTGACAAATATCAGGGCATTATATGCACCACCGACCTGATAACTTAGGTACAAACACCACGATAACTTTTCATCTTGGGAAAAAAGTTGTTGAAGACGCACCCGTGATAACTTCTTTATAAATAGCATGGTAATATACACATAACATACCCGATAACTTAGGTAGAAACATCGTGATAACTTTGACCCGAGGAAACAATGTTGTTGGAAACATAACCCCAGTAAAAATTTGTGGCAAATAACAGTGCATTATATGCATTGTAGGCGTGATAGTTTAGGTACAAACACCACGATAATTTTTTGTTTGGGGGGAGAGGAGTGTGGGGATTTGTTGAAAAACATATTCCCGGTACTTTGTGTGCAAATAACACGGTATTATACACATAATAAAGTTGACAACTCACTACAAACCCACGGTAACTTTTGACCCCGGGATAAAAGTTTGTTGAAGACATACCTTGGTAACTTGTGAGTAAATAACATGATAATATACATACAACAGAGCTGATAACTTACTTAATCCAGATGTGGTAACCTTTTGATCAGGGAAAAATGTTGTTAAAAAATACCTCCCAATAACTCATGTGTAAACAACATGATAATACACGCACATGAGAGCTGATAACTCATATACAAATATCGTAGTAACTTTTTGACCGAGGGAAATGAAAATTGTTGAAAAACATACCGCGATAACTTTTGTGCAGCATGGTAATATACACAACAAAGTTGATAACTCACTGCAAACATCATAATCACTTTTTGACCCTAAGAAAAAAGTTTGTTGAAAAAATACCCCAAAAACTTTTGTGTAAATGACATGGTAATTTATGTATGACATACGTGATAACTTACATAGACCAGATGTGGTAACTTTTTGTCCAAAAAAAGTTATCAGAACATATCAACATGGGATCTAATTTTGAAGATCTCGTTGAGATAATTTTTTTTTTTGAAGACGATTTTTCAATCGGAGCGACGGTTTGAGCTACAAAACATTTTGAAGTTTGAAAAAAGAAAGAATATAGGATGACATCAGATTTTCATCCTTTAGTGCATATATGCATGTAATTAGAGGGAGGAGTGCACGTGAAAGCAAAATTAGTTATTCTAATACATGCATGTATATAGTTAAAGTGATGTAAGGATCGTTCTTGCCTATTGCTAAAATCCGAACATTCGGTAGTTATAAAAGTCCTATATATAAACGTTGTAATACCACCTGTAAACCCGTCCAGATCGTGAGAAGCAATAAAGCAATAACAAAAGTTTTCCCGTGCGTTATTTGTAGTCTTTACCTACTAATAAAGCGGCTATCGCTTCTGCGGGTCCGTCATTACTACTTTTGCATAAAAGCCCCTGTGGTTTCGTGTATTCAACCCGCAATCCATTATTAAGCTGCCACGAAAAACGGTTCGCTAGAAAAAATACCCGTACGCGTCTGCCTCCTCGCATCGCCTCGACCCTGGCCTCTGCCTAGGCCGAGCTAACCCTAGCTGCCGCCGCACCACTCGCCGCCGCGGCCGACCTCAACCCACCCGCCGCCCCGGCCGACCTCAACCCGCCCGCCGCCCCGGCCACACCTCTTCCTGCTCGCCGCCCCCACCGCGGCGCTCGAGCACAGCTTCTGGATCAGTTCAACGCGGCTGCTCGACAGGCTGGGGACGATGCGTCTGCTCGAAGCAAAACGGCGGTGGCGGGATCCAGCAGGCGCGGGAGAAGGAGAGATCCGGCGCGGCGGCGCGAAGTCCTTGCAAGTGGAGGCGGGCCTCCATGGCTGGCAGGGAGAGCTCCAAGGTCATGGCGGTGATTCGATTTTTCTGGTAGAGAAGAGAGACAGAGGAGGATCCAGGATGGAGGAGAGGTAGGAGAAGAAGGACGAGGAAGATGGAAGTGTGCGGCAGGGGTGCAGCGGTGCGAGGGCACTGGTGCGCGTGAGGAGCGCCTCTCCTCGGGAGGATCAGGGAGGAGCGAGTGAAACTCAAATCGACTTCAGAGCAAGGTACTGGTGTAGAACTACGAAGAAGCAAGCTGACCAGATGCACACGTACTAGCCGGCAACAACGATGAAGGAAGCCAACCAGATGTGCACAAAACTACACTACATCATGCCTAATTGAATCCTCCGGTACGTGTTCCATTGGCTAATAGACCATGCTAGCTAGCTAGCAACCATGTAAATTCCCCACGCTTGATTGATTCCTTTGGGACTTTATTAACTTCTATATGTTCTTCCCATGATTATCTGGATAATGCTAACTGTTGATATTTCTTTCACGTATACATGGTTTTGCTTGGAGTTTTTCCACTGGCGACGTCTGAACTCTGAATATTATGAACTTAAGGATAAATCTTATAGCAGATCAAAATCATGGTCCACGCAAAAAGAAGAGACCAGAATCATGGTTGTGCTGATTCCATAGGGGCCTCATGATGGTTTGTGTTCTTTTATTCAAATGAAAAAACCAAGATTATTATTGTAACTGTTACAGTTGTACTAGCAGGATTATCCTAGAAGCTGTGCCAATTTTCTATCAATTGATAACGTTGTAAGGTAGTGAGTCATCTTTGTAGACTTTACCATGCCTCGATTGGTTGACTTGGATCACGTGTATGTCTTACACTTATAGACAATTCTCACTTGCTATGCTAAGCTCAAATTTGAAGATACAAGTTGAGGTGTGTCTTGGGACAGTGTGACTAAAAACCGAACTTTCAGTTTATGCAATCAGAAGAAAAGTGAATGATTTTTCAATGAAAAGAGAATACTTCTGAGCATAAGGATGAAAAAGTGCAGCAACCGACTTGACTTATTGTTTTGGAAATTGCAACCGGTGCTCTCCTTCTTGTTTTTGTGATCACTGGTGTTGTTACTGCCTCCAGAAGCTTCAATCTAAAGCCTTCTATAAGAATATCATCATGGAGTAGATCAAAAAGTTGGAGCAACGAGATAACAGTACTGATTGGTTGGTATTAACTATATAAAATAAATTGATTATTTTGTCTAACATACATTGTTGCTAATTTGTTCATGCTTTCCTCAGATTCTGATATGCTGAAAAGTTTGCCAAAGTTGAGTCACTAGGAACTTGAAGTAGTGTGTTAGGATTTTAGCAACATAATTGGCTCAACTCTGGAGACTATAGTCTACAAAGAAACAATGAAGGATGGACCTGAGGTTTCTGTCATATCATTATGCGCCTTTGAAGGTCATTGGACTAGCCAGCATGAGCTCTTTTACCAAAACAAGGTAGTTCGTTTGTCTAAAATTGCGACTCAGAAACACCTTTTAACTCAAATAATAAATAAATAAAATGGGATGAACATTGTAGGTTATTGATCTGGCAAGGTTGAATCATGAGAACATAGCAAAGTTTCTGGGCTATTGCAGAGAGAGTGACCCATTCTCGAGGATGTTAATCTTTGAGTAAAAATCAAATGGGACCCTGTACGAGCACCCACACTGTAAGTCTATCTCTTCAATTTCATTAGGACAGACTAAATATTTGCATTTTCTGTGTGTTGTAGATTTGATCTCAGTTGTTTTCGTCCTTTATATGGGGAAGCGGCCCAATTCTCTTGGCTCAGATGAATGAAAATAGCCATCGACATCGCCCAAGGTTTAAGGTATTTGTACACCGAGTCGCAGCCTCCTTTCGCTATATCTGAGCTGAACTCCAATTCAGTATACGTTACAGAAGATTTTATATACAAACTGAACTTTGAAATCCACTTGACAATTGCTCATGACTTGATAGAAATCATTCTTATGAGCAGGCTGGCGACGTCGTCTATTGAAGCCCCACCGGCGACACGACGGGACAGCTCCGACTTGTACGTGGGTGTGGGAATGCAGATCCGCGTTGCTAGCTTACACAAGGCCATGCTCAACGCGCCGACGCAGGGTTTATCGCCCGTCTTTGTCAGATAAGCAAAGCAATCCACCTTCCTCTTTCTCATCAGATCCATTTTATTGTGATATTGCATTTAAGTCAATCAATTTTTATGATTCTTTCAGTGTTAAAGAAAATAGAATTTACCTGAATAAATTGCGTGTATAGATATGTAGAGGATGAACTCAACAAGTGGATCTTTCAAGGTTAATTAGCTTTGCACATTTTATAAAATAGATGCAATGGCATAGCACCTTCAGTATCATGCTTGCACTCACATGTTGTTCCAACAGCACTATGAATGCTGCCCAGAATTGCCATGCCTTCAGCTTTCGCTATAAGTTCCTATGATGCTCCTTTTCAGGTGACTTTTCATGTGATTTCTACTTCTAAAAATTAGAAAGTACCTTCAGATCAAAGCAGTGGATTTGTAGATTTTCTGGGTATTGGTGCTACTCCATCTCCATTTGGCTTACGGTCTTTGGTCACTGATTCTGAGGTACGACGTTGTTTTACTTTTATGTTAAATCCCATTTAGCTTGGCACCTCCATTTATTGGTTCGGACCGAGCAAAGATCCTGTCGAGCAATATCACTGACTGGAAGCATAAATTTTCAAATCAGTGATGAGATAAATCTTGTGTACCGATGCTTAGCAGCTAGCGAAGTGCGGCTGGTATTTTTGGTCTGTATGTAGGTAGCTTCCTGATGTGTGTGGCTGTGTGTTCATTCACGACCTGAACTTATTTCTGTTGGCTTCATTTTAGTAAAGATGGGGTGGGAAAAAAAACAACACCCTATATATATTGACTGAAAATAATAATATGTTTCAGTAGCTATATTTCTCTGTTTCCTAACATGGTTGTAGGCTAGATGTTCGTGTTGGTTTGTCTTGCTGTAGAACTTGCCCCTATTCATTTGTTACACATTTTGTGTAGCTATCAAGGAAGAAAGTAATGGACATTCACAGGTCAGAGTCTCCCCATCAGCATTTGATGGCAGGGGCCGCTGCTTTACAGAAGATGGATGTGAAACCAAAATCATATTATACCAACTTTTATTTAATGCATATTATCATTTAGCAATACGTTGGTTGTGCCTCCCCGTGATCAATGGAGATCTTCTGTAGATGTATTGGAGTTTTGTCATGCGTTAAACTTCTCAATGGTTGACCATGAAAAATCTGTGTAGTTCTTATTTTGTACATATGCTTCTGGTTTCAAGGAGAATTCTTACTCCTTTTGGAATTACCATCTTTAAACATTGTAGATCCCAATCTCTTGTGTATTTGCATCAAATACTGTTTTTCGAATGCTTATCATGTATAATACTAAACTCCCTGCCCCCTACTTCTTCTGTCACATGTGTTGTTCCTTTGTCATCAGTGAGCTCCAGAAAACACAACTGCAAGGTAGAGAATAGTTGCCACTTAGTTAGCATTTTAGTTAGCAGTGTAGACATGTTAGTAATACTATAATGTTGGACAATAAATGACTTCGACTACATTCGAACGAACTTATCTTGCTTCCAAGAAGAGTAAAATCATCTTTAATAATTTCCCGGATTTTGCTTATATTCATGTTTCTTAACATGTTTGGAATGTCGTTTCCTCCAAAATGCGACATTTACCTTCCATTTGGAGCATAGGATTGTTAGGAATAAGCCACGCATGAGTATGTGCTCATGTGTGTGATCTGCATGCATGGATGGATTAGTTAGCTAGCTATGGAGCCGGCGCAGCTGAGTCGCGTGGCAGTTCTGCGTGGAGGAAGAATAGGAAGCAATAATTGAGGCTTGGTCCTATACGTGTGTATCCAAAGATTCTGGAGACTTGGCTGTTACCCAAGCGTGTGTAGCTAGCCCGTGGAGTACTAATCGGATCAAGCAACCGTGGGCTTGACCATGCATGCGTGTGTGCGTGGGGTTAGTGGGTGTGTGTGTGAGTCTTGTACTTGGCTATATAAGTTGAGTAAATGAATGAGAAAAGCGGCCGTGAGGGCTGGATACACAATGTAGCCGTGGTGGGCATCAAGGAAGTTTCTCTTGGCAAAGCCATTTTGGTCTTCTTCCTTGGTGCATGTGTGTGTCCGTGCATGTGTAGAGTTCGTCACCATGTGTGAGAGTTGTGAGGAAGAAGAAGGCGCTGCGGCGAGGAGGCGGCGCCAACAATTGGTATCATGAGCTTGGTGTCTTGGGCGTGCTTGCCGTGCCGAAGGCGTGGCAGCGATGGCAGCGCTCGTCGGCGGCTGCGTGATGGAGCTCCGGGCCGTGTGTCAGCCTATGGAGGTGGGCGGCGCTGTGGCTGCAATGGCGCGTGGCGGAGGCGGCGGGCGGTGACGTCGTACGTGCGGCGACCGCGGAGGCCGCCGAGGCGCTGCGTGGTGGCGCGGCGGCGCGGCACTGCATGGCGGCATGGAGTCCGCAACGGTGCAGGGCAATGAGCGCGGCGGCGAGCCGGGCGCGACCGGTGTGTGTTATGGGTGCGCACGGGACCGCGTCGGGTGCATTGGGACCGCGGGAGTGGACCTCGTCAAGGCGCTGGACCTGGTTGCGCAGATCGCGTACGTGCGCGGCGGGAGCGCGGGCCGGGAGCGCGGGGACGTGGGGAGTGTGCGCGAAGGGCAAGGCGGTCGCGGAGACGAGGAGGTCGCGAAGGACCTGCGTGGTGGCGCAGCGGTCGCGGCGGCTCGGCGCGACAACCGTGGAGGCGCGTGGCACGGAGCCGCGGCGCTCGTGTCGGATGCGTCAGGCGTGTGTATGGGCGCGCGCCGGGCGTGTCAGGCGCGGCGGGACCATGGTGTAGGGTGGCCGTTGGCGAGCGGGGGTGTGCGCGTTGAGCTGGTCCATCACGGGCTCGCCGCGCCCAGACGTGTGCGTGCATGTCGGAGGGGGCGCGGGCAGAGCGGGCGGGGCGGGCGCTCGATGTGGGCTGGGACGTGGGTGCGTGCCCGGCGCGTCCCTGGATATAAAACCCCTCGTGTACGTTGTAATGGCAGTGCCCGGAGTCGAGTTCGAGCTCGAGGGAATCAAGGTCGTTGGTGCGCCAGGAAGAGAAGCTGCGGCGTGTGTCGCCGGAGATGAAGAAGGGCGTTCTCCGTGGCAGTCGACGAGAGGCCGGAGTCCTGTCAGGATGGGCGGCGAGGTCGTGGCTTAGAGGGGAGAATGTTAGGAATAAGCCACGCATGAGTATGTGCTCATGTGTGTGATCTGCATGCATGGATGGATTAGTTAGCTAGCTATGGAGCCGGCGCAGCTGAGTCGCGTGGCAGTTCTGCGTGGAGGAAGAATAGGAAGCAATAGTTGAGGCTTGGTCCTATACGTGTGTATCCAAAGATTCTGGAGACTTGGCTGTTACCCAAGCGTGTGTAGCTAGCCCGTGGAGTACTAATCGGATCAAGTAACCGTGGGCTTGACCATGCATGCGTGTGTGCGTGGGGTTAGTGGGTGTGTGTGTGAGTCTTGTACTTGGCTATATAAGTTGAGTAAATGAATGAGAAAAGCGGCCGTGAGGGCTGGATACACAATGTAGCCGTGGTGGGCATCAAGGAAGTTTCTCTTGGCAAAGCCATTTTGGTCTTCTTCCTTGGTGCATGTGTGTGTCCGTGCATGTGTAGAGTTCGTCACCATGTGTGAGAGTTGTGAGGAAGAAGAAGGCGCTGCGGCGAGGAGGCGGCGCCAACAAGGATGCATTTTTTATCAGTTGATGACTGAAAAAAAATCACTTTTCTGATAAAAACGCTATCCATCAGTTGGACTTAATTAATTGCCTTCTAGACACACCTTCAAATATATACAGGTTCTCTAATAAGGTAGTCGTGGGAACACTATATTTTTGGTTTACATTGTAAATGTTTCCAGTGACCACAAATTTGACTTTCTTTTTTGCTTCTTTTCAGCTTTCAGGTCCTAAATGAGAAGGTAAGGATGTACTTGAGCAGTATGAGAAGACCGAGTTCTATTATCTCAGAAGCCAGAAGTTTCCCATTAATCTTTGGTTCTAAAATTTGTTTAAGAAAATGGTCATTCTGCTATTAGCACCACGATTATGTGTCAATTGTAGATTTTTAATTGGTTAGAATTATTTTATATGTTTGATTCCTTTTGTTCATATTTATTCAACAACAAAATATTTTCGAGATTGGTCAATTTGAGGATCAAACTTCAAACATGTGAATTGATGTGGCATCAAGCTAAATCTATTGATACATAGCTATCCTTTTTTGCTTTGCACAATTAATATTGTTACTGGAGATGTATGTTAATCCTCTAGCTTTGCTCATTTTATCTTTTGATTTCATCTGAGTTGATAGGATATTGTGTCATGTGTTCAAAAATTATATGGTCATGTGGGTGGATTGTTTCTCCCGTTGCAACGCACGGGCATGTTTCCTAGTAGTACTGATTCGATCAAAGCAAAGATCGATGAGATAGTTATACGAGTCTGTGACGCGCTTGTGTTCCGGCCAGTGTACGCACGTGCCTGGCGTACATAGCTATTTCTTTTAGCTTCAACCAATCAGGAATCCAGCGCTTCGCTTCGTCGTCGTTGTCGCCGGAAAGTACTCGGCATTGGGACTATGGACTGGGCCAACAGGTGTTTCATCCTCCAAGTGTTGCCTGAATCCATCTGTGAGCTGGCATATTTAGAACGTCTTGACATATCAGTATCGTTCTATTTACAACTCCCACATAAATTTGGTAGACCTTCAAAGCTCGTATTCCTAAACTTATCAGCGTGTTTCGCTCTCCAAGTGTTCCCTGAATTCATCTGCCAGCTAACATGTTTACAACACCTAAATATGTCAGAGTGTTGTGCCATTCAAAATCTCCGAGATAAATTCGGTAGCCTTCCAACACTCATATTCCTGAACTTTTCAGGTTGTTCCAAGATAAACAAACTACCTTACAATCTTAAACTTCAATCTTGCGAGCATATGAACCTATCATATTGCCATGAGCTAGAAAACCTGCCAAGATTTTGGCAACCTTCAAAGGCTTGGGTTCTTGAGCCTGTCTGATTGCTACAAGGTTTCATTGCTTCCAGAATCATCTTGCCAACTTGTTCATTTGAAATCCTTAGATGTTTCAGACTGCCATGAGCTCATGGAACGTCCTGAATGTTTGGTAACCTTTTTGAGCTTGATTCTTTGAACCTAACAAGTTGTTGCAAGCTGCAAGTACTGCCCGAGTCATTCTGCAAGTTGTCTAAGCTAAGGTATCTCAATTTGTCTTATTTTATGAGGCTTGATAAGCTCTGTTGGTAGGACTTACTTGTAATTGTGGGATTGTAGAGGGTGAAAACTGTAAAAGCACCTGTATATACATCTTGCATCTGGGAATGAATCAGATAGAGTTCTCCAGAGAAATCTTCTCCTCCTCTCTCTCGTGACCTTCCTCTCACCCGAGCGTCACCCAGGATCTACAACATGGCATCAGAGCAGGTCGGGGATTCGCTCCAGAATCGCTCAGATGGACGGCACTGAGTGTTGGGAGGTAAAGGCAGAGGTTCTGGGGCCCGATTTGGTGCGGCAGAGAGTCAAATCGGGGCTGCCTGATTGTGTGCTTGGCTGCGGTGGAGAAGGGGACCGGCTGCTGCTGCAGTGGAGCAGGGGGCCGGCGGCGGCTGCAGTGGACCAGGGGAGCCAGCTGCGAGCAAGGCAAATAGCCAAGGGACTGGAGACAGAGGTGAGTGGTACCCAGGAGGTGTAGTACAGCCGTTGTTGAGGGGTTGAGTAGGATTTATTCAGGTGAAGGTGAGAGTGGTGAGTTGGTTCTTGGGTGCAAGGTTGAGGTGCAGCTAGAAGGTAGGCTGCAGGGATTCACAGGGGAGATTACTTGCTTTGAGGTGGTGATTGAGGGCTGTACAGTACTAGTGTGACCCTGAAGAACTTGCAAGATGGGAGAAAATGTAAATGCTCTTGCGGCAGTTACAGCCGGGGAACTTGCAGTTGTGCTTCAGTCTATGGATGAGAAATATAGAGCACTCTTTGATGCAATCAGCAAGCAGGCTGGAAACTCAAGACCAGAGACTGAAGCCAAGGAAGAGATTCACCCGTTGCAAATGCCACATGTGAAGCTAGAGGGTGCGGAAAATTATTCCAGTTGGGCAGAGCATGCCGAGACCATCCTGATCTCGAGGAACCTTGAGGGGTATATACTGGGAACAGTGGAGAAGCCTATCGAGGAAAATTCGAAAGAGGCCCAGAAGTGGAAAGCAACAAATGCATTGGTGAGAGCTTGGCTCTTAAGCTCAATATCATCTCAGATTGCAAAGCAAGTTGAAAGGATTAAGGAGGCCTCATAAATTTGGAGGCTCCTGAAGGGGACATATTCAGGTGTAGGGAATGAGATGTTGGCATGTAGGATTCAAAAGGAACTACAGGAGCTAGGCCAGGGTGAGAAGACTGTTGTGGAATATGTGTCAGAATTGAAAAGGTTGTGGAGTGATCTTGATTACTATGATCCAGTTGAGATGGA